TCTTGAACACATAGAGCATAAATATAGCTGTTTTAATTTCTTTGTTTGCTAGGCTAGCATTTGTCATTTCTTTGTTTCTATTGACTGATTTTTACCCTATTTATGGGTCATATTTTCCTATTTCATTGTGTGTATAGTAATTTTGACTGGATGGCAGCCATCATAATTTTTATCTTGTTGGATGAAGGATTTTGTTGTATACTTTTGTGTAGTGTATTGGATTTTTCTAGTACAAAATAAGTTACTTGGACTCAGGTTGATCAATTTAAGATTTCCTTTTAAGGTTTATCAGAACATATACTTAGCGTCCTGGTCTAGGACTAATTTAGACTCACAGCTAACACAACGTTCCTCTAATGTCCTGTGCATTAATTAACACAATGTCCTTGTAAGGTCCTGTGTATTACTTGTGTATCATACGTCTCTTCGATGTGACTGAAGGGAATACAGACTATTCCCAGGCCTGTGTATGCTCCTTCAAATTTTGACTTACTGCTTTTCCATGCTTCTCACTCCACTGTTGGGTAGTTTCCTCTCACCATGTACTGATCTATACTCAGCCAAAGACTTCTGCAGATCTTTGGAGCTTTCTGTGAAGTTTGCTTTTTTCAGGCATTCTATCCCACAGATTCTTATCAATTTGGCCTCCCTAACATCTGATTTTTGTACCTTCAACTCAATGAGACCACCAGGCTCTGTTTGGGTACTTCCTTGCTGCATTGCTTCTTGGAACCTGCCACTTGGCAGTAAACTGGTGCATCTATATGGTTTTTGGGTTTATCATTTCTTTCCCTTCCCTCAGGGATTACAGTACTGCATTGCTTCTTATTCAATGTCCAAAAATCACCATTCTTTATATTTTGTCTGCTTGTTTCTTATTTGATATGTAAGAATAAATCTGGTCCCCATCATTACATCAGGGACAGATGAATGATATGTTTTTAACACTAAAAATAAAACCCTATCCTTACTCTTTACAAAGCAAATCTTGCTCATTGGCATTCATAAAAATGAAACTCAGCTTCCAAACGAGTAGTATTGTTTGTAACCTTCATTTGTAGAGAAGCCTGAGGCATGAGAGAAATAACTAATTTGTATTTGTAAAATCTCATGTTCTTCTGTAATTACTAGCTGGAACTTATGTCAGTGGTTCTGTAATTTTTAATAGGCCTGGATTTGTATTCATATGTCTAGGATAGTTGCTGGTGTTGGTGACTGTGAATTTAATTTCTATAGTTTTTAACTCAAGAGTGACATCCATATATTTCACTATTTCTTCTTAACAGCTTGCTTTTAATAGGAACTGGCTGAACTACATTTCCAAGCATAGATATGAGAGAATGAAAAAGATTCTTATTCTAGAAGATAACAAAGTTTCAAAAATAATTTTTCTCTGCTTCTAGTTCCCCTACATAGTCTAATTGGACATTACTGAAAATGAATCACAGCTACATTTATAGACTTGGTCCTTTAATAGGAAGTTGCTTGCAGGAATATGAATTTTTGCTATTTTTCTTACCTTCTTCCACTATATTCTTTTTCTTTCTTTTGATTCTTTCCTTCTTTTATCCTTCCCTTTTCCTCCTAAAAATGATACATGTGGCCCTTGTAGCTCCTTTCAGTTACCACACTCACTATCACCTTTCATGTCTCCATATTTTTGTTCCCTGCTATTTCCTTTGCCTAGAATATTTTTACGCTCTTTCTTTCTTGGATAGCTCTCATATATTCTTTAAGGCTCAGGTCAGACAATGGACTAACTTGTGTCAAATTGTGTGTCCAACATATATGTATACATATATAAATGCATGTAAATATTTGTAATCAGTAAATAAGAGCATAAATGAAGCAAATCTTTCCTAAATTATCTTCATCCCTACAGCTCAAGAAGAAGAACTATACAGTGAATAATAGTGTGGGATCTAGAGTCTGACTCTTTGACTCTTGGGGTTCAAATCCTGGTTCTACCCACTAAATAGCTGTGCAAACTTAGCTAAACTACTTCTTCTCCCCTCAATATCTTCATCTCTAAGATTGTGAACATAGCACTACTCTTATATAGAGTTATTGTGAGGATTTGATGAGATAATACATAAAGTGCATAAAATAGTACCTAAGTACTCCCAAAATAGCATCTATTATTATCAACAGGAGCTAATTTTTTATATCAGTTCACTGATTCTTCACATCTGCAATTCAATTGTCCCCTCAAGTCTCTCCTAAAATTATCAACTTTTCATGTTATCACAGGAAAGACTGCCCAACGTGACAGAATGAAAAAATTATGCTTTTTATTATAGTCACATAAAATAAGGTCAGTTACACCAAGTTGTCCAAATGCACTGGTGAATTAAAGCCTCCAACTTTTACAAATTTTTATACATATATCTATGCATTTATAAATACATACATATGTAAAAGATACATATTTTCTACTAAAATAAAGTGCCCAAATCTTGACATATGGGGGCATCGTAGGGAGAAAAGAATCATAAAGTTTTATCAGTTATAGACTGTACTTTCACAATACAAGAATCTGTTTTGTACACATTTATTCAGGTATAATGAGCTTCAATCACCCACTTTTTTCTGAATTCTCCTATGTGAATTAGTTTATCCAAAATATTAAAAGAAGTCATGTGGCCAACTTATAATGAATCAGAAGCTAATTTTTCTGACTATGCCTGGCACAAAGCCTTTGCTTCTCAATAGAGGGGTAGTTAAGCTCTTTTCTTAATTTTCATGTTTTTTGGACTGTTGTTTCTCTGCTAAGGTGATAAGCAGAGGGAGAAATGAATCAGACGTCTCTAATTCTAAATCCTTTACTAGCCTTCAATAAAGTCAGGGTTTGGTGAAAAGAGGTCTATATTTTTACAGCATCCTGGGCTTACTAAGAAAAGGCCTAGTAGGATCTGACTTGTGTGTCCTACTGCCTCTGCTATAATTAAATTTTTGTTTGAATCAAGGAAGAAAAATTAGGGTGGAATGATCAATAGATCATTGAGTGAACCAACTCAAATTGAAATAAACTCTCTGCTATGGTGAAAAACCTTAGTGAGAACATGCTTGAACTCAAGAACAAAATAAAAGGTTAAAGAAAAACTAGATGATTTAAGATAATTCAGAAAATCCTCACTTCAAATGAGAACTAGAGTTCTATTCCCTGTTCCAAGAGCTCAGCTACCCTTCCCAAGTTTTTCCCGAATTTTCTGCTCTCTTAGACTCTTAAGACAATCGTTTGTAGTTTCTGAGAAGAAATTGAATTTCAAAATGCTTTTGAAAAGACTTCAACCTATTTAAGCTTAATACGAACCCACCCATTGCAGAATCTCTCGTGATTACGTGTTCAAACTACATTAGAATATATCTTATTCAAGCAGGAAAGGGAGAAGCTGTCAGCACTGAAATTGCATAAAACACTCTAGACTTCCCAATAAATGGGAGATTGAGAACAATGGGAAGCCCAGACAATTCCCAGAGTTAGACCAAGGAAGGAAATGTTTTAATTTTGGAAGGGGAAATAAAGGGCAAAAAAGTGTTTCCAATCACCTGGCCTATCTCAGCAGGGCCTGTGCAGAAACTAGGCTGCCTAGCTACTGATTTTGGTGAGCATCTTGTTAATGGCTTGTTTGACGTGCGTGGTGGAGCTGCGTCGCCTTGTCTTGCCCTGCACCATCCTCCTCCGACGCACCTCTCGACACAACTCATAGAATATCTCTGTGATATTCCCTTCTCCGGTGCAGGCAGAACACTCGTAGAAAGCACACGCCAATTCCGTGGCCAGCTTCTCCCCTTCTTCTGTGCTAACCTGTCTGGAGTGGTCCAAGTCAGCTTTGTTTCCAACCAAGATGAGAGTCACATTTTTGGGCTTTTTGATCTCATCTAGGATGTTCTTCAGTGGCAGCACTTCCTCAAAACTGCCTCGGTCAGTAATGTCATAGACCAGCACAAAGCCTTCCCCCCACCGCATGTGTCCTTCCTTCTGAATGGTGTCTTCCTGTTGGCAAAGAAAAAACGGAAGTCAGGAGACCTGGAAGTAATCACAACGTATAGGTGCTGCTCACGCTAGTAGTAATCCCTTACTTTCTGTTCTTTATATACAAAGTCGTCAAAGGGCCTTGGTGGTCTGCCTGTACGGTTTACTTTTTCAGTTTGAAATAGAAGTATTACTTATATCAAGATATTTCAGGGAACTGAAAATTTTCTAACTTTATAGACTTTAATTTTTTACTTTGAACTTTTTTTGGCCACATCATTAAATCTGTCATTACCGGGACTATCAAGAAATTATAATGTGAATAGAGCATATCACCTTTGAGACTTTTCATCATAAGTAAGAAATTAACAAATTGACAACCAACAAATAGTCCTTACTCACCTTGTCCTTTAGGTGTCAGAATGAGAGCCAAAATTTAACAAGATGCCTTTTAGGTTCATTTATTTGGTTTCTTTGTCTGTTTTAGTCTTCTCTCTCTTCAGATTATAGACAGCCCCAAGGGACAGAAAAACAATGACAGACTGTATAGAGTCCAACTTCAAGCTAAGGATTTTGGCTTTTTTTTTCCTATCCCGATACCTCAGAAATGTTAGGCAGTACTAATAATGATAGCAACTCATTTGAAGTGATCCTCAAAGGAGTGCCCACTCCTCCGTAGGAAGGTAGCATGTACGATTTGAAAAAGCATTGCTTTCACAGGTTCAAATGACTTCTGGAGGCTGGAACTTCCCTGCTGCCTCTCTCTTCAAAAGCAGTGCTCGATGAAGGTCAGAAAATAAGGAGGTGGGAGTGGCGGAAAAGTGTATAATTCATTTCAAGAATATTTCTTGGATTACACACTTTAATTCAAGTCTTCTTGGGGTCACAGGTCATTGATAAAGCACCATGGAAACTTTTTCCTGTCATTCCAGTGGTCATTTCTATATGTAGAAACTAAACCTGTCTATAAAGCCTTTTGTAATCTCAGAACTGACTGACCTCAAAGCAAATTTACAAAGCAAATATTACAGGAGAGATTCCTAAAATAAAGTTTTCTAAAACAAACAATACGTATATCTCTCTCTTAAAGATTCATCTTACACATAAGCATATTAGAGGCTTTGAGAATTCTTTCTGTAAAGACACCTGTTTAAGCATTTCAAAACTCATTTGACCATGAAAACCTGTTAATATTTCACTAAACCACAAAATATAAGGGAGGGAGTCTAACTTGGATGATACATGGCTATTGCAGAATTTTCAAAACCCTCTTGAAGCACTGGGTAGTTTGCATAAGGATGCATACATAGACTGTTACAAATATGTTAACATAAAAAATGGCTAAGTAATTAGAGAAAAAAGATTTTTGGCATGCAAAAGTGGAAAGAAAATGCCTTAATTTTGTTCATATTAGATATGTCTCATTTTTACTTGATCCAGAAAGTATTTTAGCTGAACTTCTTATTCACCTGACCAGCAGTATCTAGTATCTCCATGGAAACAGCTTCATCATCGATGGTTGCTTGGTGTCGGTAGGTTGATTCTAAGGGAGTGAGCAAAGAAGGCAAAAAAGCAAATAAATACAAGATTTAATTTGGTCTTTAAAATTAGAAATTGGGCATGGGGGAAGTATTTCTGTTTTTGTAGCAGAAGGGACTGTGTAGTCTAGGAAAGAGAGGATGGATGGGCAAGAGTGTGGAATCTTTGTACTGATAGAACTCCTGGAAGTAACAACTTCTAATTTGGGAGCCACACACTTTCAGAGTATAGGATAGGGGAGATCTCTTTGCCTCTTTGCTCCTCTATCCTTTCCCCGTAACACTCCATCTTATTTTTCTGTAAGGTCAGCCACCTGGTGTTCTTATCCTTCTAAAATGAGCCCTGCACAATCAAAAATGAGAAAGTAGTTCCCCCAAAGTGCATTCTGTCTCAATGCTCCTAAAAATCCAGTTTCTGGAAATCACTATTCCTAATAAGATACATGCAAACAAGAGCAACTAATTTCCTTCCAAACCTCCATCCCGGAAATTTAACAGACATTTTAGGGAGGTGGAAGAATCTTACCAAATGATGTAAAACTATGAGAAAGTCTTGGCGGCAGTAAAAGGTGGTTGGACCCCAGTGTTTGGAGCAGTAACCCCAAGCAGAGGAGGGCTGGGCAGCATGAAAGGGGGATGGAACATGCAGAGTCCGCTCACTCCTATGGCCTCCTCAAAGCAGAAAAATGGCAGCTACTCAGTGCCAGCTGGAAGTTGGAGGGTCAGTAGCAGAGGGGTCCCCAAGCCACATGGGGGTGAGGAGAAGTGAGCAGGGGCAAGAAGACTGAGCAGCCCTGAGTATGCCCCTAATCACATAAAATGGAAACCACAGGTCAAA